TAGGAGTTGATGATAGCCTTTCATATCCGAGCAGTTCAAGGGAGATGGATAAATTTCTCCAGGTTATCTTTTGCTGCTGCAGCTGCTCCCTTACACAATCACAAAATATCTTCCTTCTGAAGTTAAAAAACAGTCGTTTGCCTAAACAAGCATCTTGAATTTGCTACCAAAGCTATGCGATCGGGACAGGTGAATGGCGTTCCACAGTGAAACAAAAAAGTGGGGGAATTACCGAAGTAGGTAGCAGACAATTACAGTACGGGGCTAATCACAAGCCTTGGAGTTGAGGCCAATGTGAAATCACTAATTTTTCAACCTGCCTGGTGGCTAAGCACTTCAGTTGCAGCATAAATGCTCTTGAAATACCTTTTCACAAATTTCTGCCGTTGCTATATCAAACTCGTTATGGTCAAAAGTAGGCTGCCTATAGAAGGCCGCCATGTTCGCTCCCTCAGAGACCTGGCTCACATTGGAGACCGTATTACCGTTTCTCGAAGCTAACATGAAAGTTGGAGAACAGTGTGCATGGTTCTATGCTAACCCATGGCCGTGCAAGCCAAAAATGCCCCTCTTTCACCACTCCTGCAGCTCTCTGTGATGTATTGTAGATCCGAATTCCACTGCGCCAGAATACACATTATTCTGTGTCGTTAACTGTTTTCCCCCGGATCCAACGATCAACAAATCGCTTCTTACAAAAACACTTAAGCAACTCTCCTTCAGTTATCATATTTTGCATACTGATAGCCTGTGCTAGGGTTTCCATGATCTTTTGGATAGAGCTCAGGCAAGCTGACCCCAGTGGACGTTTTGCACTGGCTTACACAGTAGTTATGCTTTGTATTTTGAAGCACCCACATGGTTTCCAACAAGCCATATGGTACCTCTACACGATCTGCTTCTCCCTAGCAGGGGAACTCAGTCACACAGGTGATTCCTAACGCTCCGGTGAAATACTGTGACCACATTATGCCAATCTTCACCACTAAGCCAAGGGCTGTGAACCTCGAACATGCACCAGAAACTTCTACCGCTGCGGTTTATCAAAAATGCATGGTTAATCTAAATAGTCAGCTTCTTTAGAGACCAAAAAGACTGATCTCTGAGATCTGGGGTTTGCAAGAAGAAAACTAACATGTAGTAGGACGATACAAGGCCGCTTTGGAGGATCCTGCGCCTTTAAGAAATTGGGTCAGAAATCTTCCCATCAAGGACCACTACACGACGCTGAAAAATTTGACATTGCGCGAGATTCGTGACCATTTGAAATGAGAGACCTGCCAGGCGCGTCTGTGTAACCTGTCCACGAGCCTTAATCCCTCTGAGCAACGAAAATATGGTGTTTAATTACATGGAATATCAGGAAAGCACACCATTTGAACTTCTTCATCAGGGACAGAATAAGGGGTAACCATGGGTTACCCAAATTGTCAGACGATCCGTTCGGATATAAGTATGCGATAATACATCCTGATATAGCGAGTTCATCACATCCCTCCCTAAAAAAGCGGAACTACGAAAGTATTATTTGCTCCTAATTTGGGAGCCAATCGGTATTCAGAGAATGAAATCAATTTCAAGGGTAACTTCATAGTCAAGAATTTCTATGATTAAAAATTTTTCCTACAGATTCCAGTGTCTCTTTAGATGACATCAAGCTGGACAGTCGGATCTTTGTGTACCATTATCAACAAGTGCGCTTATCTCACTGGCTTCTCCAGATTCCTCGTTGGTTTTGCTGGCCGACTGCTGCATTAGCAATACACTTACTTGTAACGCAAAACAGCGCGCGCGCATTGATAACCTACTGCACGCACAAATACCATGGTCTTTTTTTATGCAAGCATCCAAGCGCCTTCTCGAATGCCGTGAAGGATCCGAATAGAACAGCCCAAACTTCTCGAAAAATATATACCAAAACACGTGTGAAGCGACGCGAAGTAAACTAAAGTCACTCTCGACAAACCATGGGTTTTCGAACCGGCGAATTTTACTGAGGATAGGTAGATTCATCCCGCATGGATATCAGAAAATAACTTGACCCATTTTATCGTGTCAATGTGTGTATGCTCCTAGTTCGATGATCCCCATTTTGTTATGCGCAACTAGCCAGGAGAATGTGCAGAACTTTCTGGCATCTGTAAATCATCAACATCCTGGTAAGGCGTCTTTCCCACTGAAAACGTCATTGAGCTCAAAGATATTGCTGGAAAACGGAGCAAACCATTCATTTTCATCATTGTATTCGTCTTTGTCTTGGCTTACTGCGGCTATTTGTCGTAACTGGTAGGCCCCTGTATATGTGACACGTTATTGAGGTCTCAACTATGCGTGATAGCTCAATCCAAAGGGAGTGACTGTCCTTCGTAATGCCTGCCTGCCAAGCTCGCGCCTGAAAAATGTACAGCCACCACTGGAAAGTTATATGTTCCCGCTAATTGGTCGCATGAAAACGTACTGTCTAGCCAATCCAAACCCGGGTCCAGGAGATATTAGTTAGCTAGGAATTGTGACCGCTTTTGGCTGTTACTTATTTCGGGCAGCATTCTAACTCAAATTATAGTGCTTTCCAACAAACTTTCGGACATTTCCTATTTTGAATCCCCAATGTATACACGACTGTATCATCTCCTTGTCTGAACGATAACAATGAACCACCATGCGCCCTCAATGTAACCAAGAATATCCTTGATCCATTGTAGTCTAAATTTGTCACGAATCCCCGGCGATTTCTAAATACAGCGACAACCCTAAAAGCCCCACTAGAGACGTTCATATAACAAGCACAGCGTCTCGAGTATGGTACCGCGACTACCATACCCAGGCTGATGCCTTGTTCATGTTTCACAATATCCCCAATATTTACCGGATGAGCGTGTTACGTGCACTCTTAAGACCGCCCCAGTCCGTTTAATTTGTGCGTTTAAACAACTTCCAACAAAACCGGGGGCTCCTCGGGAGACCATAAAGTAGTAGATAGATGCCATCAAACGTTAGAATCCATGTTAAATTTGCCCCCTCCGAACTATGGCTTCAGAGAAATATCGGGTTGTGTCACTAGGGCCCGATAATTAACTGAAACAACGGAACATATTAGTTGCACAATGCTGTTAGCTGCAACACCTTCAGGAATAGGGTGAAAAATTTTGCGCCAGTTTGTTGCGTTCTGTTAAGGTGTGTGCTCAAACCAAAAACGATTCCAATCTACAATAACTTATTTTCAGGTCACCAAACTTCATTGTTCACCGAAGAAATCAGACATCTGGCGGAGAAGCCTGGATGAGTAATTTCCCAGCATCGCTAAAATCCCGGGTTGCCTTAATGGTGTTCAAAATTTTGTACTGTTACTCAAAACTCAACTGCCCTATTGGGGGAACTTAATGCGCTCGAAACATCCATTCCATTGTGCGAATACTGTGCGGGAGAAGCTAAAGCCATACAACTTTGAAATACAATGCGCACGAGAATTGAAGAGAGATCAATTAAAACAAATGGCAACACGATCAGTGAAGGACATGATGGTTTCTGGTTCAAGCGCACGTGCAGAGAAATGAAATATTTTTGCATGATTTTTTCTCTGACCTGCAAACCTTTCCGAGTAACGATCATCTGCCGGCCTAGAACGAGCAGTTGGGGTAATACGAGCCTTTTCGTCACGCTTGGGCCAGATGCGGCGCTTAGCATTCGCAAAATGGAATTGATTTTTGAAGGCTACGACATGTGCCTGATGGGCCGAAGCGGACAGATGATTGCGCTCAGTCAACCAGTCCAAACCTTAAGCCTCATCTGGGTATCATGGGTTCCCAGCGATGCTGGGAAGTTATTCCACCAGACTGTTTTCCCCAGATGTGTGATTGCTTCAGTGGAAAATGAAATATGGTGAGCCGGTAAAATATGAACGTAGATAAGGATGGTTTTTGGTTTGATTACATAGCAACAAAGTGCAACATCTAAGCGGAAAAAGTTACATTCTCCTCGAAAGGTTCTCCAGTTAAGTGCATTGTGCGGATAATTTACCCCGCCAGCTGCCGATCAGATAAGCTGACTAGCCAACGCTCCTGAACCGTTTGCCTGCGCCAGCTGCCTCTACGTTAAGGGTGCATACCGCAGCCAAGGGGAAAGCCCCCAAAAACGGTACCCAGTCCCCACTGCAGATTCAGAAAGACCGATATTGGTGTTCCGCTTTGATCAGGCACTGGAGGGCTCAGACACTAAGAATGCAACGACTTCGACGAAAGTTGATAAGGAACTTTCTTCGCTGAACGAGTACCTCGTGATATCCATACCGGGCCCTCTGGCTGCGAGAAAAGTAACACAACTATCTGACGCGGCTATAAAGACCGCCACAGCGTCTTCAGTGAACAGGCGCCTAAGGCAAAATGGATTGATAATCTGGGGGTCATTCTCCGGAAAAATCACGCCAACGAAGCTGGCACAACCAGTCCTAAGCAATACCCTCACCAAGCCTGACCAATCGCCCCAAGCAGAATGGTTACGCCAGAGGGGAAGCAAGCGAACTCTTGGACTTCTTGTTAGTCTTTCTTCTCGAACTGACGTACAGAAGATCTTGGAGTGGGCTGGCAGCATTCAGAAGGCCGACCCAATGATCAGGCATCCATCTGGGGATCGCCCCTAAACGCGCAAAAACTTGGTCACAGCAGGTCAGGGGTGGGGGCTGAGCACCAATTCAGCCGAAAACAAACTCACGACCAAGCCAATTGTGGTCATATCCCGTTGTGCTCCCGAAAGCAGGCCGACGACGTCAGCTGCGTCTTCGAACAGCAGCTTCTATTCGACCACCACAGGCCTTTCGCCCACCAAAGGCAGTGGTGCCGTGGAGGAGTCAAACCTCACATGTAAGCAGCGCCCAAAGTAGGTGGAGGTATCAACGCTTATCTCCGTAACAGGAAGCAGACGACATCTCTGCAGAGGCCCCTTTGGAGCCTTGGACTCAAACCCGGTGCATAACCAACCTGGTCACTCAAATTTCGGCTCCTCACCCTCGGAGGCAGCAGAGACAATGTTAAAATGCTTGTCCACAAACTGCCTCAACCTTTTCAACAAACTCGGCGATGTTAAATAGTCAGCTTGCCTTGGACAACCGTCCATAATCGCACTCACAGAGACATGGCTCACACCAGATGTCTCTGACGCGGAAATCTCGATAGACGGTTACTCCATTTTTCGAGCTGACTAAAAACGATGGAGGGCTGGTAGGGTTTTTCTGTACTCACATGCGGCCCTACCAAGCCCGATCGTCCTCTCTGACACCACCTCTGCACCCTTTTGGGGTGTACTGTGGGTCCAAACCACGCTGCGCGGGTTCGATTCTCTCCTTCTCGGCGTGGTCTACCGTAGCTCTTCGAGTTCCTCTGAAGATGACCGATTCCTCATACAAACCCTTGAACAACTCTCCTCTTACAATCGCTTCACTCATCTCCCGCTTGTAGATGAGTTCAGCGTCCCAAAAGTCTCTGGATGGAACTAGAACGCGTCGAATCAGGCGGACTTTTTGCAGCGGAGCTGATTGAAGTCGTTCAACAGAGAGCTTGGACTCAACACTTCGCTGCACACACCAGATACCACGCAGGCCAACTACCATCCCTCCTGGATTTGCCCGTCACCTTTGATCTCATCCGCTATTAGGCCAGAGATCCCGAGCCTCAAACGTGTTTTCCATACTTCTGCCGTGCACATTAAACAGCAGTGCGCATCTTACCTGAAAGTATCATATCGGACTAGCACCAGTAGAACAGGTATACAGAACCATCGTCCAGGAAGTTCAAGAGGCTGACGTGACGTTCGTCCCAAAAAACCAGCACGCGTTGCATGAACCGCAGGCTGCAAAAAGGATTCGGCGACCTCTAGATAAAAGATCTCAACTTTTTTCCAGAAGTCAACTGTAGGGAATGCAGAAGACCAGGTGACATTTCGTGAAGTTCCGAAACACTGTAAATCAGAAATCCGCCAATGGAACATACGAAAACGAGCTCGAAAAAACAAAAACGACTAGTACAAATACATGGTAGATCGCCGCAGAAACAATCTATCGGCGCTCTCCTTGAGGGACAGGACGGAGAACTGACGAGTAACCCAACAGTGGTATCTGAGGCTTACAGAGAACACTATGCGTGTCCATACTCAGCCCCAGCGTCTGCGTCAAATCCAATCTTCTCAAGGTGGAACTACGAACAGCCTCTAACCGACTTGATGTTTACGGTGGAGGACATTCGCCAACTCTTGCAAGAGATGAACCCATTTACACTTGGCGTTTCGTCAGTCGCTTGACGAAGGCCGCCTTCCCTCTGCTTGGAAGGTAGCGATTGTCACACCAATATACAAAACTGGTGATCGACTATCGCCTGGCAGCTACAGGCCTACAAGCCTCACCAGCGTGCCGTGCAAGGTGATGGAACGCATTTTGAAGCGAGCTATCCTTGATCACCTTACCTCTAGCAACCTGATATCTCCAGCTCAACACGGATTTCTCCCACACCGCTCTTGCCTAACAAGCCCGCTCATGTTTATGGACAGCTTAACCCAAACCAAGGACGAAGGCCTCATATCGGATGCCATATTTTTCGACTTCTCAAAAGCATTTGATAGGGTCCCACATGTCCTGCTGCTCCACAAACTCGAGTCTTACGGGATTCAGTGGAAAATACTACACTGGATCAAAACGTTCCTATCGGACAGATCACTGCGAGCGAGAATATGCTCGACCTACTCTTCTCCAGGGCTGGTCTCCATTGGAGTACCTCAAGGCTCCGTCCTGGGAAAACTCCTGTTTCCGATCTACGTTAACGTCCTCCCAGATGTTCTTGCAAGTCCATGTCAACCTTTGCGGACGACTTGAAATCTTGGAGTTCCAATGCCAACGCCCTCCAAATGGATGTGGACGCTGCCAAGCAGTTATGGTTGGACTGGCACCTCCCTCTGAATGACAAAAAGTGCGTTCATATGTCGTTTGGAGGAGACTCAGCGAACGCCTTTTTTATGTATGGTGAGAAAGCACCAGAAAACATCATGAGGATAGATGCCAAACAGGGTTTGGGAATCTGGGTCTCCTCAAACTTGTCCTTTTCACTGCATCATGAGAAATCGGCCCAAAAGGCATTCGCCACTTTACGGATGATCCGACGCACCTTCTCCCGTATTACTCGCATGGACTTCCAAAGACTAAGAAACGCGTCTCGCGATGCTTGATCACTTTCCCTTAGAGTACCGTCGCCTCCTAGGGGACCTATTTCTTACTTATGCCCTGTTCGAACATAGCTTGGCAAACAGGTTGTTTTACCGTTAACCCAGCAAACACACGGCGGGCACATAGTGAGAAATTTTTCAAGCTTAGAGCACACGCATTCATTAGACAAAATTTTTTATCATTTCGGGTAGTAGGTGCGTGGAATGGCCTTACTCCGACGGTTGTTTACGCTGCATCTAGTACCCAGTTCGAAGTCGAGACCTCGTGCAAGATTACTGCCCTGCGCTGAGAACTTAAAGAACGGTGCTACTGTCGTTTTCACTTGCCCTTCAGGTGAACAGGAGCCGCTGAACCAAAAGAACAAACCCGAACCGGAAACTTTAGGCGAAAGCCTCGACCATGGGTATCAATCCGTGAATCCGTGATTTGGGTGAACTAACAGTGGAACATATGCATGAAATATTTTACACTCAGATAGCGCGCTTGTTACGGTTCGCTCGAATTGTTTTCGCGTGAGCGATCCGCAGTTCAATGGTTTTGTGTGTGTGGCTTTTGACTTTACTTCTAAGGTCCGTTATTTCTCATCAATTTGACTTGATTCATGAGTCTGAAAATGCTGGAATGAATTCCAATTTACGTCTGGAGTTGGAAAATTTCGCTGGGAATATTTCTGCCGCTTATGTCACAAAATGGTACAAGAATGATCAAATTCAGACAGAAACATTGCTTAATGGAAGCATGTCGTACTGTTTACGGGATTACTTGCGAATTGCACGAGCCGTTATTTCTGGTGAATCCTGGCCTTATAAATGTAAGTGTTACATTTTGTTAAATGTATTTCCACTTCGGTACGGTAATCAACTGTATACCATCATCATTGTATGCTAAAAGCGTCCATGTTGGTGAGTGTTTCGCCGCATTGAAAGTTTTCAAGAGACGTCTGTGAACAAAAGCTTGCGCTGAGAGGATGCGACTTAGGCACACTGAATCATCGAGTGTTTAGGAACCTGAAAATTTGGTTCCATGAAACGCCGCCTCACTTACATCTCCCAGATTTTAGCGCTTTGAGGGGCGGACGGAAAACTCAGCCCCGTCCGAGTGACGGGGGTATTCAAGCTACATCACTGAGGCTTTGAAACATGGTGTTATATACGTTGCAATGGTCCAAAGGCGGATTAGGGTACAGTCTTACTTGTTAGGTAGCTTATTATTGTGTCCGAATAGTTCCACTCATTGGGATGTATCAGAGTTGATGCTGGTGTTAACTAGGATTTTACGGTAAAGTTTGTAGATATTTAATGAGACAGTTGAATGAAACTTCCTGGAAACCGGGTTGATTATGTAGATGCAAATGGTTTCACAGTCCATTTAACACTATGCCTCCGTGTATTTTGTAGCTGAACCGTACAAACCACATGCAGTGGTATACTGAAATCTACATTCTGGGACAAAATGTACCACTAGGACGAAGTCAGGGTCCGTCCAGTTCCTCTGAGATAGGAGGTTAGGATCCAAGCAACCCATTGGAGGATGCAAACTGTAGAGAACAAAACGTTCAATCATAAGTCCGTTTTTCCGTTGGTAGATACTAAGATGACAGCGACTAAACTGGCATCTAAACAGTTGAAATGAAAATGAATGAAGGACACTGTTGATAACGTCTGGAGTCAGAAAACAGGGGATGCTGGGCGGATTGTTAGCACAGGTTGCCTTTTATATCAATGCTTTAGAGTGGAAATATTATAGCGTGGGCTTGGAAATAATCATTCGAGATTTTCTTTGTTCACTGATGTGGTGTCGGTAGCCTATTCATTGTTGGTGCGATAAAGTTCAGTCTCAGATTGCAGAATCGATTTTGTGCAATAGATACCCAAGCCAGTGCTGTCGATCAAGCATTAACCAAGAGTCGGTGTAGTCGCACTTCCTGATAGGGCACTGTTCTCATTTCCACAGTGCCTGGATTGCCAGCGGATTGCATATATGTACAGACATCCTTCATTTTTCGAGGGGTCGCACTCTAAATTAGCCTGAGGTTAGCTCCACAGTGTTATGCGCTATAACAGTCCGAAGAAGGTAAAGTCTCCCTTTAATGCGCAGCATTTTAATGTCTGTTGCAGAGGCGTTGCTATCTGTAACTGAGAACGGGTTGGGACATATTGCCTACGAATGCTCCATACTCCAATTGACTGATATCTAATCGTGTGTTTAGGTGAACTCTCAAGTACGGTCGAGAAATTAATAAGTCTTTTCAGCCGCCAAATTTTTTGTTGCAATCAGCTGAAATGGAAGTCAGATTCCCATGTTTAATTTCTGTATCAGCGGGCTATGCCAATTCCTACTTTCAAGTACGTCCAACTGGTCACTTACTGGCTACAGTAAGAATCTCCAAACGTGTATTATCATATTTCGATTCGACGTTTATGTCTTTGGGGAGGAGCCTAGAAGCAAGGCTTCGGAACAAGACGCACCATTCAGTTTTGCGTCCCTTAAGTCAAAATTTTGAGTGCAAGTTTCCAGGTGGAGGTCTTAGTGCTTGACCCCATCATCGGCCTGGGCAAAATAAATGTTTGATTATCCATTACAGTCCTTTGTCTATCCATGATTTCGCAACATGTTTTCCATCTCAAGCCCAACTATCAGTCATCTGAAAAATGTGTTTCATCCAACTTTTTCTCAGGAATCTTAGGGAGCGAGATGGCTCAAGTGGTTAGAGCGCGGATTTACCTGCAGGAAGGTTCATGGTTCGAACCAGACATCTGCTGCTCGATTTCCCCTGTATAGGCTTGGACAACCTGGCAGTATGTCGGCCCTCGTGCTTCCCCGGGTGACATGGCAGCTAGGCACCGGAAAAGTCTTACAGCTGAACAATCCCAGTGACCTTAAATGGTACCGGCGTCTCCTCTTCTCCGTAAGCAGCAGGTCAGCTATTCTGACAAATGAAAACCAAACGAATTTCAAAATCGGAAATACAATTTCCTCTGGAAAACTGGCAGCATATTCAATGTTAAACCTTGTTAGATACTTTGTCACCGTTCAACGCCGCTCTGAAAGAGACACAGAAGGAAGCATGCACACGCGTCCTTTAACCACCAGATGTTTGAGCGCGGTTTGAATACCTATATACCTAGACCCAACTATTTTAACTCACATCTAGGAATAATACCAGTTTCATCGACAACGGTATAGACCATAAATCGTTTTGTGATCGATAGTCCTTTAAAACCAGACTAACGGACATTTGGTTTCTGGCGTTGGTTACTGTTCTTGTCTAGACTGACTTCCATGTGTGAGTGGCTTACCTGCGTCTGCTTGCCTTCCATGTCCACGAAGTACCATCACCCATACGGTCTACTCTTTTTCATGTATTTCTTAATCTTCATCTAGTTAATCGGAGGTTCTAATAATGACAGCGGAAAAAGCAAACATGGGACCGATAGTTGTCACCCTGTGTAAAAACATGGTCGTTGGCTTGTTTGCTGAGCTGGGCAATTTGATGACAAACGTTTCTTCACCAATCGAGGTAACATCAGCAGTGCGTTATTGGGGAGCGTAGCGGTGGGTTAGTGGTTGTGCACAACCATCTACGCTACTTGAGCTATCGACATTTTCCTCTGTATAAAACAGTTTTTTGAAGCGTACACCGGACAAGAGAGGGCTATTCACATGGTTGACTCAGAGGAAGTAAGTTGGCGTATTTCGTTTGCGGTAGCCTGTGGCACTCGAGCTAATCTAGATTATTTTATTGTTTACTATATTCCATAAATCGAAATTTGCCTGCGAATCCGTGTATCATGGGAGCAAAGTAAATTGAGTGAAACGCTGGATATAAGTAAAAGGTTTATTTATTCGGTCTGCACTTTGTTGGTTGTCAACTGTTTAAGGGGACTAAAATACTATTTTCGAAGGTCTTTGACTACTCTTTATGGGTTTGGTAGGAATTGAGCGTTGGAGATTTAAATCTGAAGGGAGAAATAATGGGTTGGAAATAGTTAGTGCTGAAGAAGAAATTTACCATCTCTTTCGTTATTCTCGGAACTCTCTTAAAAAGCATGGTCTGCTGATCTTTTTCATAGTGTGTTATTATTGAAGGCGTCGTTCTGTTTTTCAGTTAATCGCAGCACAATCTCAACCGAAGCGCAGTTTAATCGGCTCTTTTGTGTACTGCTTTACATAATTTTTCTCCACAGTTGCAAATTAGACAATAAGAGACAAACCATGGTTTCATTATTTGTTCCAGGTTCATATTAGTGAAGGTTATTCCAGTATCCCAATCTTTTTCGTCTCAAATGCATCGTCTGGTTACTTTGCTTAAGTATTTTGTGCTGATTTGCCGGCCGGATTCTCCGTAATTTATGGATCAGTCATTTGTGCTCAGTTTATTTCCGGCTTTGAAACTTTTACTGATAGATGTAGTGCACAGTGTCTTTTATGCACACCGAAGTCCTCTGCATCCTAAACTCTAACTGTTTTTTTCTGACACCGCTTCCTTATTTCAGTACAAAAGACCCCATGAAATGGTTGCTTGATCTACTGGATTTCTACTGAGATTTATCAAGAGCAAACATCTCAAGACCCTACTCGTTTTTGTTCTTCTCACGACAAGAATAAGTGAAGTTACGTCCCGTTACGTCCCTTTTGATGGTTAGCTGCCATATTACCCGAAGAAATTGTAAAGGCCTTGATACGGTCAATATGCCCAAGCATAGACAGGAGCCGTCGAGATGCACAGATTTGACTCGAAGCGCATACTTCCCGATCACTAAGTTCGTTCGTTAAACACTGAGCGTTATCGAGAAACATATGTTGTAGTGTTCTAGAAAATAAAGTTTGTTTTTAAGTAAACTGCAAGCAATAAGAAGGGTCAGGCCATGGGCGGTGATTTTCCCGCTCTACATCCGTACCTTGTAACGACGACCGACCGCGGCAAAACTCTCAACTCTTTCTTTGCGTCGCATTTTGTGCTGCTATTTTTTTATTATTTGATTGCCTTGCGTGCCGATGACGCGCTTGTTCGATCTCAGGTCGTTAGTTACGCAAAGTTCTGATTCTTTGTGTCTGATTTACTTCTCCCAGACTTTCCGTCTCTTCAGGTGTGCGAATCAGCAATTAGATTTTTAAATTTTCAGCCGGAGGTAAAACGTTTACATTGTATCATTGCACGTCATAAGTTTTGAGAACTCTTCGCCCAAACTTAGAGCAGTGTACTTTGCCGATGTGTCTCAACACTTGTTACATTGATTGCGCTAACAGTAAAAAAGGCGCGTTGGAATACAAAGACCAAAAATATGCTCATTTGGGGACTTATTTCTGCAGCCGCATGATCCACCAAATTGGAGGTGGTACGATAGATCACATTTCTACCATCTGCGTTCTCTTCTTGCAGAGTATTTTTGTGTACGTTTTGACTTCATTGCTTCCCAGTTAAGGTAACCTCCCTATCTGCATTGCTTTTGACAAGGGCAACGAACGCACCCATTTTAACTGTATTAAGCTCACAAATCACATACCCATTGACCTTTTCCAGGCACCAGCACGAATTCTAGTAAAAACAATTAGCAGGTTATTTTTGTAGTTAACAACGGTCGAAAGATATAATGGCTGGAACAGAAGGACGTCATTTAAATTGCTCTGTTATGATACTTCTCTTTTGTGCTAAAATTCCTCGTAGCCGAATTTGAAACTGCTTAAGGGGGCGTACCAGTTACTACCACGATCTAGTCTGGGAAACGCCAATGCAATCTCTTTTGCATGAGATTATAGTAGATCAGACCTCGATTACTACTGGGATACACAATGAACCTTCCTTCGTCATGTTTTTTGTATGGAGATTTCTCAATCATCACGAAGGACGACTAAATTGTAAACGTATTTTCAGTCTTTCTTATATCACCAGTGCTCCCGAAGACTGGGCAACATGAAGATTTTTGGAGTATTCATCCGACCATATAATTTTTAATGTAACCTCTCCTTATTGCTCACTCGGCGGGATCAGCAATTGTATTCCCCGGGGTGAGGTCTGGGATCATTGTAAAATCGTCATGCACTGTGGGTTTGCACGGATATGTTTGCTTCTTATAACGGTCTTGCATTTATCTTATTTGCTTCTTGCATTGGTAACTAGACGCACTCACTCATTGAACACAGACTGCATCGTTTCTTGTAGGCTTCATGCTCATCATCAGCAACGTTGCAAGAGCGCCACATAAACCTGATTTTTAAAATTTCATAGAATCCACTTCCCTCAGTTCATACTGAATATCTTAAGTGCCTTTTTTAAAATTCGACATTGGCAGGATCTACACGGGAAAAGTGGCGTTGATTATTTGCCTGTTCGCACCTGTTGGAATTGTAAAGATCAGCCGTGCATGGCACATGTACGGAGGCACGGATGTCCTACAGTCTTGTTGATAAGGGAGATATTTCTGAGAGTATCAAGATTAATTCGGATACTCGTTGGTTTCAATCTTGGAGCTGTGGAAGCTTTGTGACGCAAGTATTTGAAACATTTGACAAGCCATAAATGAAGTTACCCGAATTGTTTCAAGCATTTACTCTTAGATACCGCCAATAAGCATGCAGGTCTGCCGTGTACCCGCCTTTAGCATGTTCTAAATATAACGTATATATGCATTTGTTATACATGAGCGTGATACCGCGTGACTTGTTTCAGAATCTTTGACCAGAAGCTACAAAAAAGAGCTCCATAAGATGAGTTTTGGCTGTATTTGTTGAAAACTCATTACTAAACTCTGAGTGGTCTCTAAGGATATATTAAGTCTTCTCACTTCATATACGTGCATTTGCATGGAAAAAATCCACTGTTCACTGTTCCCTCCCCGGTATTGTCCATCAACCATTGTCACTTTAGTGTAGGAAGGTCCGCACATGATGTAGCGTGTCTTCTGCCAACATTTGACCAGTACAAAGTGAAAGTTAGGTCATGATATGTAGGCCCATAAGCATGCTTCACTGCCGCGCAAGCGCGAATATTAATTGATATCCGTATGTGAGACAGTATTCGTTTCTAAAGTCCACTCAGTGGATAAGGTGTGCCAAAACCAATAACGTTTTTCCTTGTTTTTAGTTATTGATGCGTCTGCAAAGATTCCGGCTGGTTTGACTGGTGGTGCTTTAACGTGGTCAGGAAGCTACGAACTCTGTAAAACAATTGAGTCCACACCGTCTGCAAATGAGTCGGCAATTCGAGGAAGATACTGTACTATCCGATTCCCCGTGACCATAAATGACCCAGATGTGGCGATTGTACGTCAGATTCCATCAACTGTACATTCTTCCCCCAGGATATAGGCATCCAGATTGGATTCTGTCTTCCATTTGACTGCAGTACCGATGAAATGCGAAAACTTGTAAGGGCAGGTAAGGTGTGGGTTGCAAACTGAACTTTGGAAGTACTTGCATTGCCACGACTCCAGATTGACGACCGTTATTCGTACTGTCACTTGGGTCCAGAGGAAATGGCATCAGATAAATTCTTCATTTTTGCCGTGTAAGTTTCCCCATGTATAATACCTATATATTGTGCTAACGCGTCATCATCTTGATTTAAACTGCTAAGTGATTTCCCCTATTTCCTTCTTCTCAAAACAAGTTAGCGCCATTCAATCCAGCGTCCCTGAGATAGAAGTTTAACAGCCGACTTTTTAACTATTCAGATTAATGATGACCATCAACGAGGTCTATCGGTTTCACTTCTTCCAGTCGATCCGTACGTCGGACTGATATCATTATGTGCTCCTGGATGCTCCTATACGTGTGTATATTCTTTCTCATTCACGCCATCGGATAACTATATAGTTCAGTGAAGTTCATCGTAATCGTTTCCTCCACCTATTTTACTCTAAACACTTCTAAAACATGATAGTGAAGGAGTTGTGGGGGTCTTCTGAGTGCTTATTACGTGTGTCACTGATGTTTCTCTACTGTGGTACTTGGAACGTTCTTTGTCCGTCATCAGATCGCCATTACCAACATCAACACCATCATCTTCAGCGTCATCATTGACAGCTCGAAATCAGCACCCAACATTCGTGCCTCGCTACCATAATGTCAAGGGAGACCGGTGTGAGAGAAGGAATAGCTTGTTTTTCTAGTTGCCTCAGAGTGCGAACATTAAAACCTGCCGTATAAACCGGGAATCGGGGCTTGAATGTTGATCTTGAGATGTTCAAGGCTATTGAAGCTGAACCACGCGAAGACTTTGGAGCAAGTCCTAACGGACTGCCTGATAAGGAGCGTATTATCATTGGGCAGTGGGAAAATATATGTGGTGAAGAAGAACAAGCAGTAACCGGTTTGGGCCTATGCTTCTTACTGTGTGCAGCAAGTGCGGCCATCCGGTTGATGGCTTCACGTGGCGGCCGATTTGCTATGTTAGTATTTTTCACTATGAGAGTCATCATTGGATGCAGTGTTAGGTACTGCCAAGGTGTCCAAACCCAGACACGAGGACCATTGGGACCCCCAACGAAAGCCTAAAGCGTAAAACCAGTGCTGCTTGACGGGAAATGACAGCGCATTATTTTTTTTCAAAGAATAAGTCACCACTCATCTCTCAACTCTCAACCTGAAGGTCCGGGAAACTACGATACTCAATCCACCGACCACCAGCCAACTTGAAAAGATAGGCATGAACACCCATCAGCATAGCTCAGTGGTTCACGGAGACATAAAAACCGCTACCCCATGGTTGCTTCCAGTCTCTTCGTGATGGGGAAGTTCTTTCAAAGGCAGTGAGTCCTACTGCTGTCTTCGCTACGTGTCTCTCGATAACTAAGCAGTCTGGAATTAAATGTTCGTCCAGTATGTATATGGATATCCGGGAAACCATTTTTTGTCGTGGTAGGCCAAATATTTATCCCGTCCTTCCACTCGTTACCTCAAAGACGTGCGATAAACTTGAATTTATCCTAAAATCTCTTTTGAGTAACGCTGTTCTCGAATTGTGGCTGGATGGTTTGCAGCTTAGGTAAACATACATTTGAGTATCAGGTGATGCAGGTTGATATTGAATACGTTATTATGGAAGTATTTTGCTTGCTGAAATGTTCACGGCTGAGAACTGTTTTTTCTTTCCATAGGTGGTAAATACAATTTCTTCGATAATTCGGCACTTTTTAATTATACCCTATTGTAGGATTATCCTCACTATCCTTGGCATCCTGGTCCTCGTGGGTACACTTATCGATCTGGGGTTATATATAAAGTGGAAGTCTACTATTTCGTACGAACCCGTTGATCAGTTCGAATCGCTATTATTTAACGAAGAATCTTCGTCTGTTATGGCATCTTCATCAAGTGTACAAAGTGATGAGCAAGGTGTCTCTGCGTCCACACGCCCACCAGAAACATTTTCAGCATATTCAGATTACAGAAATGGTAAATTTTCTTCCGTTCACTTTGCTTCCTCTTTTATCCACATAGTCGCACCGTTCCAGTTTACATACATTACAGAGTGATTGGTTGGATTGTCACTCAACTGTAGGTCGTGGCTGATGAGTTTAAGAGAACATTTAATTTTACAGTTGGGCATCATTTTCTACCTGGTGTAAAATTTTCAGAACAGAGTTAACATGAGATGCATTCGGTGTCCTCAGAACTTCTTGACTGTTCATCAAGACACAAATTTTGGTGGATCAATAGATTGATGTGTTCGTAGTCCCTTTCTAAAAATATTAAGTGTAGTGTGATTTGTCTCATCTCGTAATGTTTTACATGCTTCTCCAGCTTACTTTTTGTAATAGTGTGAATGAGTTCCGTCCAGTCAACAGCTCACGACCGAATTCCTCAGGTGGCTGGATTGTGTATACGGATGATTACGTGACATGACCTAGCGAAACAGATTTCCTGCATACTTTTTGGAATCGTAAATACTGTGTCGAGGTTACTTATGTTATCGGGATGTTGTTGTGACCCAGTTTCCCCGTCTATCTCATCCAGAAACCAAATGATTTTTAATGACACTGGTAATACTCACCCTATGGTAGACAAAACGCCATTATCGCCGGATGATTTGTCACGGTCATCAGACAACAATTTGTGTAGTTTTTCGGTCATAGAATCGACAAGTACTCTGCCGACATCCAAGACTAATTTGGAGCGAACGTTTCGGGAACATCTCACTGTGTAGAGTGTGGCCGGCATGGGGTTCAGTGCAGGCGTAGCTGGATAAACAATAATGACTGTGGGGAGTTAGAGGAAATTTGTTGTCTTTATTGACAATAGAAAATATTAAATCCGAAAAGTGTACCGCCTATCATGGGTTCCAGAAGTCATAGTACTGTTCCCATGAGGACTACATCGGAAACTGAGCCACATGCTCACACTTGAGTAGTACGTTTAAAGAACCGTTCCCTTTTCCGAGTGGCCGAGGAATAGAAGTTTCTTGTTATAGGATACGCAAGTCCGTTGCTTTTGGTATTAATAATTATTTCAATTTGTTCTGTAGTAATGGATAACTAGAAATACGAAGCCTAACAATCAGTAGCAGGATTCCCGTGGTTCGTAAATCAGTCTCATTTTGATTAGTGACACCATAGCTTAGCTGGAGATAAAGATTTTACACTTCTGATTGAATATTTTAAAGACGGCTGAGAGGAAGACATAAATGTGCTATTTAACTTATTCACAACTTGAGTTCTTACAGGATTCTTGTTGTTGGCGGGTGACCATCTGCATCTGAAACAATTTTTTAAAACTGGAAACAATTTATCTTTGCTGTCTGTCTGATTACCTCCTGTCTTCCCCCGTATTTTTTAGACTTCTACTACAAGTATGCCTGTTGTGGAGCATGTCTACTGGTCTTTTCGTTTCCATACAACTTGTACAAATTTTGGAACACCAAGAGCCCACAGATTAAAGACGCTGACGGTCACTGGATTACTCACCCGCTCGCAGCTCTAGACGGGATTCGTGCTATTACTCTCAGTTGGATTATCTACGTCCACACGTTAACCTTTCAAGTGTACTATATGAGTGAGTCGTGGGAACACGCTTCCTTGTGACATTCCACTTCCCAAACTGAATCTTGCAACATATAGGCATCTTTGATTTTTTATACTGGAATTCGAGTTCCATGGAATTTTCACATGAATCGTGTGGTTTGCATTTTGTAAAACATTGCTTCCACTGTTTTTTTCAGTGGCATTCCTGCAGTGCCACACTACCGTGGGCCTCGGATGAACTTCCTTTAAAATGTTAGAACTTCGTGACACAAGTCCAAAAAAGCTTTCATTTTCATTCAATCTCTTACTTATGGATACTAGCCAAGAACCAGAAACAGGTATATAATTTAACATAATCTGAAGGGAGCATCGACTGGAGTAATAAGACGTACCAAAGGATAACTACGTTCCCACCTGATATGGTATGAGTAACGTAGCTAGACAGTTAGTAATTCAAATACCACATTAAAATTTCATCAGTTTTTCGTTTCAACCCACATTTCCCTAGGCAACGCCTTACTATTCCAAGACAAGCAATATAAGGACTGGAGGTTTCAACTTACCCGGAATGGCTCATTCAGTGTGGACACATTTTTTCTGATCTCGTAAGTTCTCTTTGCTTTGAAACTACATTTTTCTGAGCGAAAAATTTCTGCAGCGTTTTTATCCAGCCGTGATTTAAGGATCAAATGGTGGAAAGTTCGGGATTGGCAGTAAAAGGAAGGTCATCCAATTTTTTTAGGAAATTTTAGGAAGATCAGTTGAACGAGTAAAGTCCAAGAAAAGATGATAGTGGTGTCAATAATATACAATAGGTCAGTACACTAACTCTAAGTTTCTTGAAAACTCTTCGACAACCCACGACCTGTGTCACCCTTCTTGAGGCTCATTAGGTAGCCGCAGTCCTCGAGTTTCCGTTAATTTTTATGTTCTACTTGAACCCAAACTGTACTAAATGGGCGAAATACGCTCATAATAATTTGATTTTGACCGGAGACTCACCCGGAACTCAGCTGACTCTTGTTTATGATGTATTTAAGCACTGAATGTGCTGCACCGGACCGACTAACGTTTTAGTTGCCAGGATAATCGAGATATCGCAACACATTGTATATACGTGACACACTACTCATAGGGCCTTCAAGTGAAACACGAGGCGGCCTGGTGCAGCACATTCACTGCTTAGATACATCATAAACGAGGGATTCATCTGGGTTCCTGGTGAGTCTGCCGTCAAAACCAAATTAGTATGCAAGTGGGTGTAGTTCGCCAAGCGGTAGATCATTTGAAGAAACAAATTCAGCCACCTTATCCATGGGGTGGCTCTGAGATAGGGGACCGGAGGTTGAACATTCCCACAGATATTCTGCAAGTGTCTGACCCACATGCATATTTTTGTTTCAGTAGGCAACATTCTGGGTGAAACAATCATATGCGATGTTATGGGCCCCGTGGTTTCTCCTGGTCCCTTTACTTACTCAATTTTGAGTGATTGTCCGCGGACGAATGTGTGCAAGTAGCTGTCATGGATTCCTAATCCGAACATATGCTGATCCTGATTATGACAAAAAATCCAGGTGACCAGAGTTTATGATTTTGGGCCAGTTCGGTGGGTGAAAATGGTGACTGTTGTCGAAATTGATCATCCCATTGTGTGTTCAACTTGGTTTTCAAATTTAAGTTCTTATCCGTTACGTCGTGTGTTCCCATTGTTGTCTATAAGATCGCGGTGTAGCATTAGAGCTATTACGTCAGTAATTCTCAGTGTTCTGAAGGGAACGTTCCATTATTTATTCATATTTGGATGGTCTCTTTAACCCCACCATGAAATACCTCAACATTTATCTCTTATTCGTCTCATTTTAGGGGTCTACTTTCGTGTTATATCCTCATACCAAACAGTGAGAAATGCACAGGAATCTGCGCCAAAATTTGGTTCTGGTTACACTATGCTGTTCACCGATTTCTGAGGTAGGTTCCATATGTTCTGTTCCTGGCTTGAGCTGAGGTTGCAAGGTCCTTATTTGGTCACTGCTCTGTATGTGTTCCGGCTGCTAAATAACACAAGAATTAGGCCAGCCTAACGGATCATCTGTTTGCTGAACACCTCCTCACTTTCTCCATAGATCCCACTGTTCTCAACTTCGCGAACTTTCGCAGCCGTAGTTAAATTGATATAATAGTAAGAGTGAGACTATAGTTCATCTTTGAATAATTTATTTCCACGTCTTAAAACCTTGCTTGGGTGTCAGCAAAGGCACTCTTGCAAGTTTTGAAACTATGAACCGGAATGGATAAATGGGAGCAGTCGTTCACCACTATGGTTTCTCCTTCGAATTCCACCATCTTATGTAGCTTGTCAAAATAGTAAATTTCCATGGATTTGTGAAACACTGGTTGAACCAACCCACTTCAAATGTTTAACAATTAGCCACCTCGAACTTGTTTACCATGATTATTCAGGCACCTTCATCCTCGGAGTTCAAACTATTTCATGACATTCCTGATAGACTTGAATATGTAGCCGGACGTCACCCGATGGAGTCGAAATTAAACTCAAATGTTTGTTGAGGCCAAGATCTAGAATGTCGTCAGCATAAGACTTGTAAAGTATGACACTTTCAGTTTCGCCACAAGCTTGTTTCTCTACCTCAGGAGAGGACGATAGGATGCGTCAGACGTAAAAGAATGTGTCTGAAAAATCCTCAACCTGACTGTGTACACCCTCGGGGAATTAAAAACGTGTAATGTATTCAAAAGGAAGACTAATGCCACTATGCTGAGTTGATCGGACTCACAGTGGATAGCTTGAGTCAACTAAAGAATCATCATGGTGGTATGTTATAAAGAACCACTGCTGACTCAACAATGGTCCTGAATGAGTGGCTTTGACCATATGCTCTTAAACCTCTGAGTCGGATGAGAAAGCTTAACATCGACTTTATCATATTAGAATAGGCTTGAACAGAGACTTCCTTTTTTGACACTTTGAGCCGCTATCCAGCATTTTTTTCTTATAGACGGACCATCTCAATAGGCTATGTTCGGAAATTACTACAGAGGTTTCAGGGTTAACTAATGAGGGCTTTAATCAGGCGAACCGTATAGAAGGGCATGAGTAACACGAACAACACCAGCATCGCCCGTTAGACAGATCTTGCACCATTTCCGCCTTAAGGATCAAGCCGGCAATTTCTGGTGTCTTTTCGGACCTCTGTAAGCTCGCTATCTAATGCAGCACTATTCTCGTGAGGCGAGTCCAACTAGCAGTATTTTAGCTTATTTTTCTAAGTACACTACACTCATTCCAAAACAAACACAACTCTCTAATTAACTCACTGTGGACTTGTTGATGCTAGTGCTTTTCCATTTCACACGTTTTACGCTTCACAGCTTTCCACAGCTCGCAATGGAGATTGGTAAACTCAGCTTTCTGTGATAACTTACAGCTCATGTAAATCGTCCACTTTGGAATAACTCAGTTTAATACCAATCCACACAGTAACATTAGCGACGTTTTTCTGGTTGCTAAAGATAACCAGTGACAAGTGACCAATCACGAGAGTGATATTTTGTGCATCCTCTCTGCACATTGAGATTACAGCCTAATACAAAGCGGTTTTCTTGTATGAAGTAGCCAGTGTCTGTCATCAAAATAATGTGACGTTAACTGAGCTTCGCTATTCATAGGCATGCGTTGGAATGCTAGGGAATTTTCAAGCTTGTGCAGGAGCAGGCGAACAGGACGCTCGTTCCAAGATTATCAACCCATGGACAGAATCTTTTCAACAAAACAACGCTTGAAAAAATATGAATACATGCGGTAGTGCATTAACCAAGATGTCATTTTTCACATCCACCTGTCCTACACTGAGCGAATATGACGACTTGAGTAGCACTAGTGATCAGACACTTCAGCTTTATTGTGGAGTTTCCCTTTGAAGTCGAAGGGAAGATTGGTGTATTAGTTTGGTAGTTGAAAACCAAGCTACTCCGTTAGATCGACAGTTTTGCTGCCAGTTTGGTTGCCACTTCACATGGATAATGGTGATGTCTTCCCGATTGCTGATAAATATTTGTAAGTTCCTGCGGTGTGCGGATCCTCATGATGCTTCAACCCATACAGAAAAATTAAAAAAGACCCTCCTTTTCCAACCCCCTCACTTGACAGCCCACTGACAGTGCTGGATTTATGCACCAATTTACCAGCTCGCGCGTGCAATGCGCAGCTACCTACCCCCCAATCATCGGTGAACGAAACTGTGGCAGCTACAACCAGTGTACGACCAGTGCGCGGTTCTTACAGCTGACAATGATGGTGATTCCTGAGTGGTGGAAAATATCAGTAGACAGTACTTTAGTTAAGATTGCTGCAGTACCATGAAAAATACGAGTGGTTTTTAGATGCAAAATGCTTTCGAATACTTTGTTTCGTTTTGAGATTTACCGTATTGTTATCCTGCAACAATGTATATGTTTGCGCTACTGCCATTTTAAATAAAATTCCCGCTTCACCAGGGTACTCAACGAGCGAAATCTTATCCGGTGTCAAAAGTTCAATTTCTTCCTAAAATATCCAGAATTTAAAAACAACAGATTCTAGCTCGGTTCATAGCTGCATGGTATCGTTTACATGGTTTGAAAACGCGAATACCTTTGGTGTAACGTGATTCGACAAGGAACCTCCGTAGCAGTAAGCTCCTGGTCATTTTCCGTTATATTCGATTTACTACCAAACAACCTTTGGGACGTTTTTGGTTGGTTGCCAACAAGCAAAAGTCCTTCGGTGCGATTCGTTCTGTCCGGTCTCTGGTAATGTTGGCATCAATATTCTAAGTGAGCTTCCTACGGACTCCTCAACAAAAGGGTGGTTTACAATTATGCGTTTACACAATAAGAGACAAAACTTCCTGCATAGAGGCAGGCGAAACTTCATTTCGTGTACCTTAGCTCGCGCAAGTAAAACGTGTTGATTCAATATATTAGTCAAAAATTGTGCGCTCGGTCGAACTAATTTAGCAATGTGACGACCATACTTTTTAAAATATTTTCGTGGAATGAGGGCGTATGAACTTGTGTTCGTCTTTAGTCCATGTGATGCTGGCGTTGGATCTAACCAGTACAACCTGAAAAGGAGTTCTATTAACAACACAGATAACTTCTCATTTTGGTGGCCGAAATGGCTGTCATTCATTGATATCATCCTCAGTGGCAGACGTGAACCCCGTGCCTGTAATAATGTTCCAACTTCCCCAATATAGCTCACTGACAGTGGAGACTGGAAGTAGATACATACTTACTGGAGGTGATAACTAGATTTACAAGGTTGGTATTTTTAATGTTTGTCGGCTATGACTACCTCAAGGTAGTTTTCTTGCTAGTCTTTGGAAGAACGTTTCGACTTTTTTTCTAATCCAGGGACCACTTTGCATATGCCAACATGTTATTTCTTGTGTACACGACAGCCGCACAAAAGTCGCTTTCATCCAAATGCACCAGTTGTTTCCCTAGGCTCGGTGCCTGTGTGTTAAGGGCTGGAAAGAATTACTCATCTTTGACAATTAGCTCGACCACTCTTCAGGACACCACTCTTATCCAGCTTAGATATTGGTATTATTAAAAAGCTTCTACAGATCCTGAGTATGAAAGCAGGTTAAAGCAGGTGCTACTACTTCCCTTCTTCCCTGACTAGAATCGCCCCAAGTTGGTTTGTAGTAACTATCGCCTTTACCGGGTTGTTCCCATACATGACGGACGGACCGCTTTATCCACAAAATCCGGCTGCGGAAGACGATTTGGCTGCCTGTCGTGATCACTGGTGGGTGACTTTTCTGAACAACTGGATTCACACGGACAAACCTGTAAGTTTTACTAACCCACGGTTGATTCCATACTTTCTGAGTTGACCGCCTCTCTCACCACTCAACCCTGCACTGACTCACCCACCTCGATTGGTGATGAAACGTTCGCGATCCAACTGCCAAGCTCGGCGAACAGACCAACAACCAGTACATGAACCAGATTTTGATCTTTGTCCTATTTATCCCAGAAACTCTAGCACTAAGACACCATGTCAGTTAATCGGTTGATGACCATCGTGCCCAGTTTATCCTGCAAGTACGTGTGTTTCAAGCTTCAGTGCATCTTCCGAAAAATGCGCATGCTACTATACAACAAATCAGAGTGAGCGTTTATAAGCTGGTGTAGGTGGAGCTTAGAAACGAGCTTTAATCCAACATCTTGTTCACGATAATCTTCGATCCATCGTACAGCTCCAAAGCTGCACCAGAATTTAGTTGGACCGATAGTCAAGTTGCCTGATCTGTGTTTCTTGCAAGTGGTATAGTAGGCTTGCTCATTAGCTCGCCATTGAGGTGTATTAGTCTGCCACCCAGATAGTCCTTTATCTTCACTGAGAAAAAAATTCTATATATATATATATATATATATATATATATATATATATATATATATATATATATATATATATATATATATATATATATATATATATATATATATATATATATATATATATATATATATATATATATATATATATATATATATATATATATATATATATATATATATATATATATATATATATATATATATATATATATATATATATATATATATATATATATATATATATATATATATATATATATATATATATATATATATATATATATATATATATATATATATATATATATATATATATATATATATATATATATATATATATATATATATATATATATATATATATATATATATATATATATATATATATATATATATATATATATATATATATATATATATATATATATATATATATATATATATANATTGCAGAGCAGTCGTGATATGATCGACTCACTCTTTGCCGCAAGGTTGATACAAGAAAAATGCTGTGAATGGAACTAGTTGCTGTGTGAGCTGTTTTTGGACTTCACTGAAACCTTCGAATTTTTCCACTGATGAACACTGTGGCTCATCCCACAACAGCTTTACTTTTCAGGCAAACTTGTCAATCTCGCCAAAGAGGCTCGCCAGTATGAAAACTTGCGCAAATACTTCAACCCAGCCCGAAATCGAATCTACCTAGGTTCTTTTAGAGGCCTTTCATTTTACTGCCATTACCGTTTAATCATAGGGCGGAAATGGCTGCGACGACTGCTCATACAGTGTGAATAGCCCACCATCCGAAACATTTCTGCACTTGTTCAACATCTGAGTGGAAGTGGTTGTAAATGATTTAGCTTTATTTCTACACCCTGAATTACAGCGGCCAATTAAGCTCTTTCGTTCAGATGCATCTCTTTTTACCCGAGAGCTAATTTTTCTAAGCCACGTATCCCTTACGAGTCTGTAGCATGAGCTGGAGCATACAAATGAATGTGGGCGGTATAATATGCTTCAAGGGTTTCTAGTTACCTGGAAGTAAAATCTCTAGCGATCTACTGTTTGCAGATAAACTGGACACGAGAATGGAGGACATTAACACGGCATTTCGCAGCCCGGGCGAACGCATTAATGCAGGCCCCACTTGCGAATATATACCCCTACTAATTCCCTGTCTTAAAACTATACCTTTTTCACGTTAACTCTTAGGGACTTAATAATAAGTCATCCGGAGTTCATCTCTATATCTCTCGGCATTAATTCAAAGTATACCGATAATAATTTCATTTCCGTAGTGGAAAGTAGGCTATTCTAGGGAACGATAAGTTACCGCATGCACTCACAGCGTGCGTTTCTTTGCAGTATCCTATCCGCTCAGGCAACTCTGGACATTCAATGGACACAGAGTAGACATGCACAGACCTTTTTCAAGTCAGCGCATGCATACCTCCATCCTTCATTTTCAACTGGCTGCCGCGTGCACGTACCAGATCGAACGAAATCAAAGACTCATCGGGCATTGGTGGTTGCGAGATTTGTAGAGTACAGATGACTCACAAGACTTACCAGGATATCATCAGATCTTCGAAGTACACTGAATAGCAAACCCAGAAACACGAGTATCTCGACGTCACAGTGAAGGTGTTGGAGGCAAAAAACGTCGTGTGAGCTACTTTAGCAAGTACGTGTCCCCACCCGTCAACACTCACTAGCCAACAGGTTAGACGCGAAAAGCAGATTGAAAGAACTGTCAGTCACAAAACATCAGTGACAAGGCCAAAAGAAAAGAATTATTCTAATTTCTATCTCACTTGACAGCGACTTGACAGCAACTAGTGTTCTACCTAAACCAGGTCAATATGGAATGAATGTCCGAGTAATAGTCTTAATGAATATTAAGACATAAATAACCTGTATATTAAGAAAGTGTCCAAGCGTAACTGTGATAAGAGTTTTATATGGCCGGCCTGGCGTTTAATGGAAGTTTTCGTTTCTGTATAATGCAAAGACAGTTCACATCAGTCAGATGAATAGCCTACTCGGATTCCAGTCAGTTAGGTGCTAGAAAAAACCAGGCTATTATCCAGTTATTTTCGCCTAAAATTTACCATTTTGAAAGTTCGTTTGTGCAGGTTTCTTAAGTTTATACCTCTATCAAATGAGACTATTTATTGAAATGTTTAAAATTTTTGAGAAGACCTGGTAATCCCTATCTCAGTCAGTTTGATTCCTTTTGGTTCCATGGTTCCCGATCAGTTTTTTTTCCTTTTTGCTCCCGAAGCTATTAACTTTACTTTTATGAACAACTGTGGTGAGAATGTGATGCTAGGTATAGCAGCGCTTTGTACGAATAACCTAATAATAATCCAATGTCATGTAGTGTCATGCTAAAAGTCACTGTACGGGAGCTTTCGCAACATCCCGCCTCCTCTCACCGTGTGGTTTGTTTGAAGTTCTCTTGACGAAACGTCTCAGCTGACCTTAGCTAGACTGCTCACGGTCTGACTACTGACTGACCCCTAGTGTACCGCACAAATTTACGACGAGCCTTATCACTGCATTTGTTCCCCAATGTGGATTTTGCTCTTGCTTTTACCTTATCGTGCAAACTACCTGCGAAGATGTTAAAGATTAATGAATGCCCATGCAAACCTTATGGGCGGCAAGCACAATGGCTCTCTTCGTAAGTCTCACCGTTGGATCTTACTTGCTGTCCAATACACTCTTCTTGTTTTTCTAAGGCTGTTTCATCTTCCGACAGTTGGTTGAATACAACCCTATCTTGCGCTTGAGACTTCATTGCGTAAGCGAAAGCAATACGTGCTGATAAGCCGAGAAACGCTGCTGATCAACCGCTCGTACCCAAACGGTCAAGTGTTCAAACTACAAGCGGAAAGTCGGCGGGTTCGGATCTCTCTAGGGTTTTTTAAAAAATGCTCATTGTTTGTGGTTCTTAATAAAAATGAAACAGGTGTAACACGGCTTCTCTTTTCTAGCATATAATCGCCTCCCTAAGAGAACGAAATTTCATTTGAAACTTTCGAAATCCGTTCGCGCTATCAAAAAACCTATCTTTATCGGTGATTAAATCTCCTGCAATTTCTTTCTAGTAAACATGATATTACACTACATAAGTAAGACCTACTGATGCACAAACGGAGACTACATCGCCTAGGTTGATGCATACATGCAGGTTTCATTGTGCTCGATATGACTCAGTGGTTAGAGCGCGAATTCGCTTACCAGAAGTTCATGGTTTGAACCCGGCCTCTGCATCTCGACTTTTCCTGTCTAGGCCTGGACAACCTGGAAGTATCCCAGCTCTCATGCTTTCTTCCGGTGACGTGACAGCTAGATACCAAGAGGGTGCTTCAGCTGAACGATCTTTCTCGATTTTTATTGTTCCCCTGTTATCCCCGTAATCATGCATACTCAAAGTTTACCTTGGATATGGAAATCTTTTTTTCTACTTGGTGCATCTGTCAACTATATCTCATTTGCTTTTTTACTCTTAACGTTTAGTGTATGCTGTGGACGTGGTATCTTTCGAACGACTATCAGTTCAGTGTTGTCCTGGTACCCATATTTGCTGCACTGTTGGCCATGTGAGTTCATTCTGTACTGTCGTTTTGTCAAGTTTTCCCATATTTGTTTGGTTTGCCGCCACATTCATCCCAATCCGTCCTTCTAGTTACCTGATTTGTCAAGCTTACCATCACAGTGTCAGGGATCTTTCAAATATAGAAATCCAGACTGCAAAAGGTGTGCTGGGATGATGATAGCAAAAAAAAACAACCACATCGCGGAGGAACCTGGAGCTAGCCTGCCGCAAGCGTCCCAAGGTGCGTGCACCTGAAAACGTTCAGTCAGACAATCTGGGAATAACATGACAGCACGAATGCTACGGAGATGGGTTAGCTTCCATTTCTTGCAACGCCGCCAACCAAGCATAAAGAAGCGCACAGGTGCACAGTTATTCTGGGTGTTCCAAAACTTCTGGATAATACATATACGGATTTGTCTTTCTCAAACAATACACAACATGGTCTTACTCCCTTCTCGTCAGAGCCAACAATTATGCTTTTAATTAAGTCACTTTGTTGGTGGTGGCCTCATGTCTTACGTGGCGAGTACTGAACTGATGCTACATTCATCTGTGGTGTATATCCGTCCGGTTTTTCCAAGTACCGAATGATAACTCCGGTCTCTTGAATGCCTTCTATTATATCTTGATGTGACTGAAACAGTGTCCTTAGTGGGCAGGAGGTGGCGATCTTTTCTTATTCGCTCTGACAAACGGATACTTTTTGCTTAGAAACGATTCTAGCATTCTCATCACTCCCTGGAGAATGAAATACTCTGGTTAACTCTGGTACAGCTCACTTGCTCCATTTTTATTTGGGTTCAATCGACGAATACTACACTTAGTTATTCATTGCATTGTTTCATCTCAGTCCCGTACGTCCAATTTTTGTTCGGTGCAAATATTCAGAAGGCATCGTTGTCCGTTCTCCCAAAAGTGAAATCTGAGGAAGGTAGCATTGGAAGTGGACGTTATGAGCTAAAATTTCTGACACAATCATTGAGGAAAATTATGTGGTCCATAGGAGAGCATAAGCCCTCAGTTTGTTGAAGATAACATAGTCGGTGTATGGTCGAAGCTGTGGCGGTGGTCTATCTGTTGCGGATTTATGGAGTTTAGTAGGCACAGTTTACCGAGGGGTCGAGCTGTCTCCCTGTCGTTTAACTGGTATCGATGAGTTCTTTCCTCACGTGTTACTGCTGAACATATGAACAGGTTATATATGTATATGATTGTGCATGATGTGTCCCCATATATTGGTTAGATTTTTTTCAGTTCATCTACCTTTTTGAGTCAACTGGCTGATTACTTTTGTTGTTCGTGCAGTTTTGTTTAGTTCTTCCTAATGATCCACTGAACAATGTACTCACATGCCGATACTAAACGGCTGTTCTTTAGCCGACAGTTCAATCAAAACCCAATCGCCTGCCACACGCTTGAGAAAGAAATTATGGAAGCCCTGTTGACGTAATATTCACACAAATGTTAATGTTTGTACGAAGGGATGAAATTCTGTCATCTATTATCTGACTGTTTGCATGAATCAGCCTTGAGATATTGGTGTTTGTGAAGATATCTTGAAGCAATCAGTCATTCCATACCAAGTGTGATTAGTTTCTAGAGGTAAACCGAAGGTGAGGAGCAGTTAGTCGGTACCCCTCGAAAGATTCTGGTTTATATTCTTTCAACTGACACGGTTTTCATCAGACGATGATCTTGTTGCGTCACGATTATTTTGCAGACACTGGATTGCCGGCATTCTGTTCGCCGTTGCCCTAGTTGTTAGTTCATCTGCTGCTACATTTGTGATTACCTACCAGTATGAATACGGTCCATCTCCAATACCCTTGTAAGTTATCTGTATCTACCCATTTCTACCTTTTTGATTTGTCAGTTTTCATTGAATTCATGGTCCCAATTTACAAAAAACACTCCCCTTTAATTCAGAAACTTACTGAAGTCTAGGCCGAACACTTCACCAGACATTTTCATTTATGTAGCCAAAGGTGAGAGTTTTAAACTTTGGGGACATCCCGCTCTGCGAATGAAATTATTCACTCGGAATGTGATTGTTCGGCTTAGTCCACGGGGCGATTTTGATTAGGAAATGCGCCCAGTATAAGACAATTAAATACTAACCTATTCAACCTTGGCCCTGTCAACCACAGAAGACGCCCATCTTCTTTTATTCCATTGATGACAACGCCTGAGATGAAAACTTTAGTGGATAGCTTTCCAGGAGCAGAGACTTCACCCCGTTTTCCTTCATTTTTTGTTGGAGACCAGTCATGATAAAGTGATTCGAGTTTTATCTAATTATTGGAAGAACGATGTTTCTAGCATCTAGATATCAATAAGGTGCACGGATTTGTTTACTAACGCGGTTCTAAGACAACCTCACTGTAGTTCTCGCCTTTTCGCCGTCATAAAGTTCTGATAAATTAGAATTTACCACTGAACAAAAGTATTGAAGTATAACTGAGTTCACTTTCATTTTTCCTAGTTTACTTAACTGCGCTATGCTCCACTACGCTTACTAACATCACACTGATGATGTCACGTTCATAGGTGATGAGAAACCTATAATCAAGTTGCTCAGCCCAGATGAAGATCAACAAACATCTGCACCACCTGAGCTACCAACGTTCTTCAGGGTAGCAAATTTACCCATTTGTTCGACATTTTAACCGCAAACATCTTTCATGTTGCCGAAGCTCGTAAAAGGGTTACACATTCTTGCAGAGATATGGAATCTCGTGGACATGTAGGATGAGAGGTCAGACGTGTTTGTGCTCACGTTTTTGACATAAGAACTACCATGATGCTACCGGTAGGCAACCAAAGAATCATACAGCCATATTCGTGGAACTATATTCATTGGTTAGCGTATTAATGTAGCTCAGCATAACAGTTTTTATCTGTATATAATGCCAGTTACTCAGATAACTGGCCATTTCCTCTAGGAGCGTCTGGTCTCTTATTTGTGAGACTAATTTTGAAAGGAGGACAACCCCTTGCATCGAGGTCATTCATCAACAAACACGAACTGAGCAGTTACAAGTTATTAAGCAGGAAAGTAAACATCTCATATGCACATAATCTTGAAAAACTGGACATCCTCATTGGCCCTCTTGGACTATCCCGGATACTCATTGACTATTGCACAAGAATAAACTAACACTGGAAGTCACTTCCACAACTTTTGTAATAAACTTCACCTTTCATTAGATGCGGGACTGACCTTGAACATCAAGCCAAACTACTTGCGTCTTCATCAGGAGTATCCATTGTTACACTGTCAGACAATCAAAAATCCTACAGCCATGTTCATGGAACTATATTCATTAGGTAATTAATTAAGGTGAACCAGCACAAACAGACTTTGTCCCTAGATAACTCTTTTCGTTTAGAAAACACTGGCCAATTCAGCTGAGACTGGCGAGTTAGTCTTCTTTATGAGACACTTTTAGTTTTCGAGGTCATACACTAAAAATCAGCAAGTGGTTATTTTCGTACACAGACTGTAATCTCGTGACAATATCTCAGGAACCATTACACTGGATTCCGTAAGGTCTGTCGTCACTTATGTACGATACTTCGGCCTTGTGGGTTCTTTTCTTTATGCACATTAGCGTGTCTAATAGCTGTAGTGCTACACCAGCATTTATAACTGCAATACATTTGAATAGTTATTCTGAAAGTAGGCAGGATTTGCCACGTTTAAGCACCATTGGATAAAGACTTGTAAAGTCGTTTCAAATGTCACAACAGTAGTAAACCAACTTAGAATATTAATCGGCAATCTCGGTTGGAATTAGGTACTATCTAGATCAGAATTCTTCCATTCCACGGAATTCGTAGAACATCCTTATGATAGCAGATAAAGACTGAATGGAAATAAGAAGGACCCCAAGGATACCACCTTGTCGTTATGTTTACCTAATTATAACATTATCGACAGCGTAACATCAGTGTCATAGATAGATCACTGCCTCAATAACTATCTGCAGTCCGTGGCTGAATTTTCCCACTAGTAGCAGATCCGAACTGTGGGCCAAAAATGCAGTTGGAGTGATCTTCACTTTCGGCATCTAGTTGTTTCTTCCGCGCACCTCACTTATACTAGAGTAGTGTAAATTGTCCCAATCGAAGCCAGTCGCTTCCAACTTCCTAAAGTTCCTAATTTTATGAGCGCGCATTTGCTTTCCTATCTCAACATTTGGAACTTTGAGCGTTCCCGCCCTTCTGCCTTTCAGGAAAAGCATGGAGCATCTATACTCGGCAGCTTATGCAAGATGGGGAAGCTACGCAATCGGGATGATTCTTGGCTGGTGGTTGTACTACCGTCCAATCAAAGGAACGGTAAGTACTCTCTGATTCATTTATTGTCTACGGCTATGCCTTACTGGTACTTGATGGAAAAAGTATATAAAACATCATTCCATAGGGGGCTTCATACTACACAGTGACCCAGTAACCATTTTTTCTGCCTCTAGATTTTCAGGCTGCTTCGTATTGCAGATAAGATATCGTTCTTCTGGATCATGACTTCCCCCATATGAAGTACAGCCTTCCCTTCCTAATTTTCGCCCACAAACGTCATTGTACAAATGTACTTTGTCCAATTAATCGTACCACAAGCTATCTTGGAATGAGTTTTTCGGTTGTTCATCTTTTGGGCAAAAGTTGGATAGTGACGCAACAGTACAATTTCAGTCATCATCGTCGTGGACAGCATGACATCAGTGTTGCGCATTGATGCTCAACAGTGCCCAACAGTGATGCCCCACTGCTGTACAGTGATTATTTATTTCAAAGCCTTATTGTGAAGAAAAGATGAAAAAGATGAGGCTGACGGCAATGATTTATGTACAAATTGTACACTCGTCTTGTTTGACCAGGATTAGTGTTCTGCCAGAAGAAGAATTTGCTTGCCCTGCTGTACAAAGCAGTGGGTGAGTGGCTGTTTCAACTGATAGCTCTGCCATAAACTGTTGACAAACTAGACGGAGTTGCTTCGTGTACCGTCGTATTTTATGAGCCGCAGCAATGGTTTAAATGTTCCCATTTTTAACCAGTTGATCCTGAACTGCAATTTGGAAACAGTACGCGCCAATCTAGTGGAACATCGTCGGTAATAACTTAGGAAATCCCCCTTTAGGGAAAGTTATATTTTACTGTCGTAGTCGTTTCAGCGATTGCATCTGGGCTTTTGAGTGGTTCGACAGCTCTTTACTGCAGGACGAAATTATCACGTAAAGTGAGTAGGGGGCAACAAACGTCGCCGTAAGAGCTTTGGAGAAAAAATACCCAGACAATTTCGGTGGTACATTTGTTCTGATCAAAGATTAATTTGTTCAAAACTTACAAAAACTGATTCGTTTACGCTGCGCTCGCTGTTTGGACACACTGCAGCTAACTGCAGAACTGTGCAGGCTCTAAAAGTTGGTGATTTGCTCATGTCATCCAGTTCATAACTTCGACTATTATTTGTCGTTCTAAGACGACTCATTGTAGGTTATTTGTTGGATAATGGCTTGCGACCGCATCACTAAAGTGCATATTATGTCAGCCTACTTGAACAATAAGAAATTGGAACCCAAATGCTGTAAGGATGACCTACCGTTGCAAATAAATAATTTGTTTCCTTCTTGAAAAGCCTACGCATAACTTAGTTTCTCATAAGATGTAGGTCTATTTTCATTCTTCTAAACTGGCTCACTTAGCATAATTTGAACTACACTTCCTGCGCAGACGTCTCAGGGTATGGCGAAAAAATTAATCTATCCGTCTTTAATGGTGCGCTAGTTTGAGTCCGATCCCAAAAGATAACTGAAAAAGTTATCTTTAGTAATTATCCGAATATAGATTATTTTCTTGCAAATGCAATTTGTCTTACTGTTTTATCTGTAACTTAAAGTAATTATGTACGGAGAACAGGCATGTAAATTGTGACCAGTCCTAATTCTTAAGTAGCAGTAATTCTGCATTCTCCCTCTCATGGTCAGGTTAGCCTTTCTTTGCCTGATTCTAGGCACCATAATGACTTTGCCTTGTATCATTACATCGACATTCCTTTACAGGAACGGAATTAGCAATAGGGATTCAAGAACCCAAGACAGGGCAACGTGAACTACTGACAACCTGCACTGAAGCCACTGAGAGAAATAGCACTGTTATTAAGCATACATTTTGTGTGGTTCACGTCGTAACATTAACGCTATGGTCACTGACGGTAATACACTAGTAGTACATAGTGCCGCTCAACTGTCTTATGATCTCCAGGGCCGCAAAGCTGTGGGGGGTTGAAGTGTAACACAGTGGTGTCGATCGCCTCTGAAGCCGGTACTAATGATACGTGACTGGTGATCAACACAATATCATACTGCGCGTTCATCAGTGCCACTGTATCTTGCGTTCAAACTAGACTTACCCCAGTGTGCTTTTGGCGAATCAATGCTTCGGGTGTGGACACTAGGGTGCAATTTCTCGACAGTAAGTGCCTCTTAGCGAATCCTTTGCAGTTTGTTGACGCATAAACGGACACGGAAAATAAAATTCGTCTAACATTTTGAACAGTACGACTTTTTACCGAAGTGGAAGGTCGAACAGTACATAGCTGCCGGTTAACAGGCATCCAGTCAAACAGTGAGGCCTCAGTCCGCGCACTTAGATCAATATCAATGCTGATCCAACGTGCAGCTGCAAGATCACCAGATTTTCGCAGTCTGAAGTGTCCATGTGAGGAGGATACGGTGTGTTCAATACCGGAATCTCTTAGTTGAGTTTCAGAGGCTCAGCAAATGTCAGCCGATGACGTATTTAACTTAAGCACAAAAGAAACTTGTTGGTCGATCTGTCTAAAAAACGGCAGTAAAACAGGGGGACCAGAGCTGAATAGTGAACGCGCAGCGGCATGTCTAAGCGGTGGTGTGAACTGTGTCGATTCCCTAGGTGTCTAACTAAGGTGCCTACAGCTGTGATCTACGCGAGAGTGAGACCAGACAAGATAAGACGAGAACCTAGGGAGAACAATGAGGAACGATAGGCGGTGTCATGCTTTTGCTTGTCTGTCCTTTTCGATGCAGTGATTGGAGCAATCTGACATAACATAAAGTTACATTTGTCAGTAAACTTTAATTTTGCATATGAAATGAGACACTGCCACGGTACCGAAAACCGGACGAAACGATTTGATTCTTTGGCCAAAGCCCAAACTTGAAGTAACATTTTGCCGTAACGTTTCTAACCGCCAAACTGGTGGGCCAGGCGACTGTATCTGTCAGAACTCTATCCGTTGCCCTGGTAGATGAAACCCTAAGTGTTGAATGGGCATCTGGAGTATACTCCAACGCGTTAGAGGCACACACCACCACGACACAAAATGAAAAAATTCTTGGACACAGGCACTGTGTCGTCATTCATGGTTTACATATTATTATCACGTGCTTAGCAGCAGACACCCCACCGTTGTAGTGACTGAAGCTATCACCGTCAGATGCAGTGAATCTATACTCTGTTATCTGAGCCTGGGCGGTTGACCTATCTTAATCGACCATCATACTAGTGTTGTTCACAACAACAGGCCGCACATCAGTCAATTCTTGTCTACCTTAACCCCTGCACATAGCACACAATAATCACTACAAACTATTCACGCACTCCGCATACTTTTTTCAGCCTATTCTCTGCTTTGGAATATTGTTTACTAACGGTTTCATTTGTGTCCAAACTTGCGAGTCACTTTGGTCGAAGCACCCGTGTAATTCAACTGGTGATTCCGTTAACACTGGGTTGACTGTGTGGTCCTCTTTGGCTGTGGACTAAATTCAAACACGCAAAATCCCGCACTTGAAGTGAAAATATCGTTCTTCCATGTTCTGAAACAATTATGGCGTCCAGTCACTGTTGCCGCTGTAGTGCGACTGCTGCTTTGCTGTCTCATCATCCCCAGAGATAGCGAAATCAGCCTTGAAAGTGTTGCTTTACTGCTACACAACCGTAAGTTTTATTTAATCATGCCAAACCATCTGAAAAGAAACCAAAAACGCGAACGCCACTGACATCGATTGGCTGCAATTTCTTGCAATTCCATCAGTCAGGAGTAGGGGTTTACAGGGACCACGTCCGCGAGGGCAGATCGCATCAGTTGCACCTGAACTCTTCGTACTCTCTCACACGTTTGTGTTGTGCAGGCGAAAGAACATACCAAATGTAGGTGGTGCTAATAAGACCAGTCTGTTTTCGACCGAATCTCAGCGTCGTTAACTGGCATGTAGCAACTAACACCTAAGCGTAGTTGCGTAGGGAACTCCGAATTGGTTTGGAATATTACAACCATGGTTGATTACAAACTTTAATCGAGATGCTCCTGACCAGGAGTTTTCACCACAATGTTTAAACATTTTCAAAGAATAATCAGGAAATTACCTTACAGATTGCCAGCAGTGAAAAGTGGCAGAAATTCACGGGCACAGTGTTTTTTAATGACACTCGCTTCCTGTCCATAGCTAGATCGTTTGGACACCGTGACGACTCGAACACCAGCCAGAAACTCCCCATAGAGTGCAGTCATTCGTGTTTGGTACAGTGCGTCAGTGGCCTGCTTTCTTCAGATATTGACACTTCTATGGGTTCCCATGCTGTGGGAGAGTTTTCATACCTCTGCCGTCTTCTCACCGTAACAAAACTTTGAAAAGTACTGGTGTAAAGTTGGGCTTATATGTCACCGTTGTGGTATGACTAAATGAAAACATGTCTGTGCTGAGTGCGATCTCTTCATAAAATTGGATCGTAACAGTTTTTTGACATAGTCCCTATTCAGGTACCAGTTATATCCTTGAAAATTGGGAAAAGCAGTGAAGAAGTGTTCTGTCTATGTGGATAAGATTCAGCATATTTCAAAGTATCCTCTCACTTACGGTCACTGTGCCGTACGAGCTGTGCTCCAGTGACTAGCAGAGTAATCTCGTATGTGCAAATAGCCTGCTGTCACTTATCAATTAAAATTGCCTTTTATGTTGTTCCTTGTCTTTTGGTGTCTTAGTCAAGGCCACTTAAGTTTACAAGGCACATGGCTGCCGCATCTTATTCGCACAGCTAAACACACCCTTAACATGTGAATTAGCGAAGCTATTAACGTCTAGTCGAGTGTGGAAGGTGTCTAGTATCCAAAAAAAGTTTGGTGATTACAACTGATCGACATACAGATGCAGCATTCATCATTTAGCATGTATTTATTTCGTAGTTTAGTTCACGAATCAGCCCAGACATCATGGTTACCAATGCTGCAAAAATCCAGTTGACAGCCGATTACACTCATGTATATTTGCTGGCTCATTGTTTGCCGATTCTCCACTTGTTTTTGCCCGTAGATCTACGTAATTTTCCTCGGTGGATGTTATCATCTTTTAAAGCAGCTGGGAGTTTTGAATAGGGCGATATATTGCCTCGCTACTCCATACATGATTCCCTAGCTTATTTGTGAAAGATCCTACGTCGGAAGTGACCACGGATGACGGTATTAAAATGATAAATTTCGCCGTCGATAAACAACCTGATAACCCCGAGTGATCAGATTAGATTCATATCCGATGTAATGACTCAATTCAAGCCTTACTTGGTGGGTAATGACCACCACAGCTTTCGCCTTGGTAATACATCGGGCGGCTACACTGAATCGCGTACAGTAAATCATTCTGTCAACTCCGCAGATACGGTCATCGGATAGAATCAGTCACACTCCATCAGCTATGTCCGTAGAGGCAAGTAGCTGACAAATCAGAGGAATGCCTATCTTACAGAGCTATTTTTCTCCAGCCATGCGCAAAACCAAATTGCCTTGTCAAAGAAGCATGAAAGCTCTAACCGTCAAACTACCTCGTGGTGACAACTTCCGAAGCCCTGGATGGCGACCCTTGACAAACCATACCGTAACCCGAAACGTAGCTAGAGACATTCTTGCATCAAATGTGTTGCAGGTTAGCTATTCCTAGAATAGGATGTTAATTCCAATAAGACGTCGCTTTCAGTGTGAGGGTGATCCCCGTTATTTGTGTCGTTATGGAATCGGTGTTAGAAACTGTAACCAACGAAACCCTGTAGATGTCTCGTGGCCGAATATGTAGATTCGACTTACCAGCTGGTTTCCAGTTAGACGTAACCCCCGAATTTATTTCATTAATAAAACAAAAGCATATATTCTTCTCCCATGCAGGGTCGTCGCTTCTGGGTTCGATGTGTGACATCAACGGCTGCGAGTGCCGCGGCAGCCTTTCTCACCTTATGCTGTCTTTTCGGATTGTACGGGCGACTCCACACTGAAGTAAACCCTATGAGCAACCTGGAAGCCTCGTTCTATGCAGCTCTGTCTCGGCCGGTTTGGTCCATCGGCATTGCCATATGTATATACCTTTGTGCCGCAGATTGGTCGTGTGAGTGTATTATTTATCCTATGAACATGCGAGAGCAGTGGTCGCCCAAATTTGTTCCCACAGGACGATGATCCTCCTAATAACAGGCTTCTTCGTCCCCGCCCAGCGACATTTTTGTTGATGAGCAAAATACGTGCACATAGAAGAGGTCAGAAAGCGTTGGTAGTTTTGGCCATACAGTTACCCAGTAAGATCACTTTTCGCATAAATCAAGAATACTAAACACCTTTCGGCGTAACAATCGATTTCCGTTTAAGCATAGAAAGCCAAGAAGTTCGAACGCCAGGTTCGGCTCCACCTACTGCTTCCTGTGTGCCGATGACGACCAGTAAGGTTAAAAACTGGACTTACTGCGTAATGATGTTTTCGTAGCTTTGCTGTATTGCAGCGGGCAGTGAGATTTACACTTAAGTTTAGGTAGTGAGTCCAGTTTTCCTGGTCAACAATCAGAAGTTTTCAGTGGATTAGTGAATTTAGTTACTTGATGACAGCTTTGTTTTAGGGCTGTTTATTCAAAATACTTGGCTGAGGTCTTTAGTCAGTAACATTAAACTTACCACATCAAAACGAGGCACCGTTTTTTTGATTCTTTATAACGTTCCAAAACCGTAGTTTTCGGCTTCAGAAAGTAACTCTTCTGCCTGCTTTCCCTCAAAAAAACCACCCAAATGATGGTTGCAGAAAAATCGTGTGCACATGTTGCACAACAGCGAGAACTCTCATGGCTTTTAATACTCCCGAAACCCACTGAAGTCTGAGTGTTGTGATACAATCATAATCCTCTCCTACAGATTTTGACTGGTGCCATTTGGATGAGTGACTACAAAGTTGGAGCCCATCCTCTTGGTGTTGGGTTGACTAATAGGTTAATTTTTTTCAGAGAATTTTTCATTTAACATTCTACCACAGCTGTTATTCTGTACGCGATGGGAAAATCTGAATAAAGGCAATCGAACAATTCGATGAGTATGGGATAACGAACGTCAATAAAGGAAGACAGTCAATGAACTTTCGGGAATAAATAGGCCATCCGACTCCACTTGATATTCAGTGTTCACGTTCTACTTCGTCTCGAGCGGTCTCCATTAGGAAAAAATGCTCTGATATGTACACGCATCCAACAGATTTCATTCCGAATCACCTGACGACGCATGAAATTTTCTATTAGAGAGACTCTCACTTTGACTATATTCACTAGTGGTCCCTACAAGAGGTCACCGTATTTCCCGCTTTGGTTCGAAACAATTCCGTGGGTTTTTGGAACGCATAGACGACCGGATGCTTCAAACACTATCTCTCAGACCAGGGTTACTAACCCTGCAGTGAAAAAGACTGTGCTGTTGTTTTTCTTCGCCATCGGCCTCTAAAAGTCACTTAAAAGTGGCATTGTTTATAAAGTTATCGCGCACCAAGAAATGTACCCTCGTCATGTGACGAGAAGTTTGTAAACCAATTGCCAAGCTTGGCGAAAAAGTCAACAGCCTGCCGATTAAGAACCAAACATACCTTCGTGTTACCAATATTTCGTCGACACATTGCCAATTTCTAGGTTATGTCTACACCATAGAAGAACGATGAATATAGTTACTGCAGATTTTTTGCATTATTACTGGCCAGTGTTGTAATTCACCGTGCCACTCAAAGGATATTGTTTGAACTTTACCAGATGGATAGTCTTGTCTCCTATTCCCCTTCTGTTTATATCGATTGTCACTCTTCAAGCCGCCGTTAATGCTCTACTCACCTTCGCCGGCTTTCGAGTGCTGGCTCGGTTGACCTACTGTGCCTACTTGATTCATCCTATCATCATAATGTACTACGGATTTTCGCGAAGTGAAGCGGCACATATGGACAATACATTTTTGGTGAGCGTACATTGGTGTGTACTGCCATTAAATTTTAACAAGTTTTATCCACACACTCGCCAAGCTTTGCAACGTTTAAAGCAGCTGCTTGGTCTTCGATCACATATTCTTTCGACATTCCCGTTTCAGTGTTTTCTTAGGCTTCCTTAGTTTCGTGACATCCTCTCAGATGTAGCTATGTGTGTTTGTACATGAGAAGATCAGAAACAACACGAAATCACCCAACCAATTCAGGAAGTGTGCGGGTAACTTCGGTTTCTGGAGTGCTGTTACAAAGTCACGTGGTTTAGTCTGTGATGCTGTGTTGTTATTCGGCCTGCCTTCTCAGGTCTTATAGTAGCTTCAACTCGGTGCGCGTAAAGTATTCATAAAGACGATAATGTGATGGATGTGAAGTGCACTGGTGTGTGCCATTTGTGGTGCGTAGTTTTCTGGTGTACAGTATGCCACTGGTGTTGTGATATCAGCTAAAAGCCAAACAAACAGAAACAATGCATTCATTGTTACGTCGTAGCTAGAAGTTATTTAGTACATAGTCGTGAGTTATGTGTAAATAAATTTGATGGCGCTCTATGAGTGTACAAATTTAGTTCCATGGCTTAACGTTATCCTCCACGTTCTGGTCATTAGGAAAAGAAATCTTAATCCGAAAGTTTTGCAAACCGTCTCATGGAGTCTCGTGTTACAATGAAACGATTGCATGTAAGCGAAAAGGGATATTTTAGGGTTTACGCTTAACTTGCAGACTTCCATCCTCCCTTTGACAGCTATGCATCGGTACCACGCACTGACGCGAATTACCGTGTAGGAACAAAGGAAGAATACCGTGTTAAATTACGGAAGTAACAGGAAAGAGGGAGAAATCTGAAGTTACCAGACAACGTGGAAAATATGCCGAGGGAATTTTGGAGTCCACGCCCTTCTAATGAGCTCAAAGCTAGCGGAAACTGTTATTGAGCCATCATATAGCTTTCCTTGAGGAAAATTGAGGGAGGGTCGTTAGGAGTATGTCCTCTACCCGCCGCTTTTTTGTACTAATTTAACAAATATCAATATGTGAGTTACTGGTCGGTGAAATAACCGATGCCGCAAATCCTTCTTCTTCTTAGATAGCAACGAGGATAGCCGCTATACCACTTAATGCCTATGGAGGGTTGTTATGATTAGTACTACATGGTTCCAAGCTGAAATAAGCAAGGGATATTGTTGACAGATATGGCGCCTGTACCTCTGAATTTTCATCTAAACATTTAACTGTTGATTAAATGACAGTACAGCTGGATAAATCGCCATTCACGTGAAGTCTTCAGAAGTGGTCTATTCCGAGACTCATACTTTTCGAAGAAACAAGTGTAATCTCCAGCTGCCACTATGTGTTGTCTCTTGGTTAGTGAATGGTTCCAGCTGCTTTCTGTCACTGATATTATGTTAGTACCCCTAGTTCATCCAGTCTTTGCCTTGGGTAATAGACCCTAACTCATGTGGTTTTTGGAGCTCCTGCAGAATACCTAACAAAGTTAGAAACTACATCCACAAGATAGTCTGTAGCAGACAAGATGAGTCACACATTGATGGTTTCGGGGGTGGTTTTCCGGTGTAAACGGGTGCACGAAGCGTCACTGAGTTTGACTGCCTCTCAGAGACTGATATATTGTGGTACGTCCCCTGGTCATTACATCAATCGGGTTGTTTTCTAGTGTCCATTTTCTCATACATATCACTCTTCATGATTTTTTTCCTCCCGCAGTTCTTCACTTTTCTTGCCGTATGGCTTCTATCTCAACTTATGGCCCTTATCATATCCATGTGCACCGAAGTCCCAGTGATTGTCATGGAGAATACTCTGAGGCGCAAACGTAGTCGCCAGGGTGCAGAAGATGCGAAGTGAATTAAATTATCACGCTCGTTTTCGAGTGGTCTATCTCAACAGCTCGAAAGCTTTTGATCACTTTTGCTTATTCTTTATGACAGATCATTTTGACTTTACAAAGTGCCTTGTACTTGTTTTTCAGAACGTTTGTTTATATATCCATTCCTAACTGTTGTGACTTTTGATTTATTCTTAACCACGTTTTTTAAAATACTTTTTTTGTGACTAAATTTTGGTTATAGATTCATGATAATACAAATTGCGAACTTTTTACGTTGTGTCCATAGCTATCTCGGGAAGAGGACAGTATGTCCATAATGTTGAACTGATTCTAAATAAACAATTTCTAACTAAAATTCAAGATACGAAGCAGCCCAATGGAAACCTCTGTGTAATTATGAGCAGTGTAGTACTACGTTCTGCTGTCACCAGTAGTTTGACAGACAAGCAAATTTGAACCGGAGGTAGTTTGCTTTGTGCTTTGAATTTTTTTTTGAATTTTCAAGTAATAACGATGATGTTATCATTGGTTACTCCTACAGAGGTATTTATTCTATTTCTGTAAGGATCCGTAGCCCCATGTTCAAATACCTTTTTTGGAAATGTTTAGGGCAGAAAACTGCTGTGCTTAGAGTATTGCGATTGTAGCTCTTTTGAGGAAACTCCTCAACGAACTGATTAAAGTTAGTCTCCTTTGAAGTCGATCTCTTCCTAAGCAAAGGTTAGTATCTGAAAAGCATATGAGCTATTTCCGCATCCTCTTGGTGACATTTGTTCATCCGTTTACTACTGTTTATTTAATGGGGGCAAGACGATCGGTGAACCAGCAGATAGCATGCGATCTTGATATGACCTACTAATACAGTACTCTTCTGTCAGCATACATGCAGATCGTCTCAGCTTTTGGCAATGAACAAATATAAGTGAACACAGGCCCTTTCAAGATCAGAGGGTTTCCCCGGTGGATAAATAACAGTTTCTGCTTGGTGGTTTGGCAAGGATACGTCAAACAGCCTCTTTCAAAAATACTGCGGATTTTTACCGTTAGTCATTGAAGCTGTTTCGGATGTGGATGATGAATTCTTGTTTACTGGGTGAAAAGACTGGCACTTTTAGCCATTGGGTAAAACGCATTAAATATAGCTGAGAAAACTCCGACAAAGATTTCTCTCGAATCCCACTTTGGCACAAACTACGAAGTTTTCCGAATCCTGGCCGTAAGTTATGTTTCTTCCGAAATGTTGTTATTCTTATTGACTACCAGCATGATTTTACCGGAGTACTCTAATCTTCAGTGTAAAGCAATCGGGTTGCAGGCAATACCTTCTGAAATTCACGACGAAATTACACAATCAACCATGTTTTTCATATCTCTACTGGGAACTGATAGAAGTGCCTGTTTAATTGTAGCATTTGGCGAATTTCAGGGAAAGTTTAGCTGACGATCTGGTCAGAGAGATGAAAATGAGATCACCCCATGGTGCTGTTTCCTAGTGACAGATTTCGATGAAACGTGCCCATTTTTTAAAACTTTATTAATCAGGTCAAAGCACTTCTGCTGTGTTCCCGGTTTAGTTTGATCGCTACCTTCATAGTCTTTTGTCAGACCAGTCACTGCCATGTGATCAGATAGATTCAGACTTTTGTGTACTGGTGTGTTGTTATGGTCTAAACGAGACGCAATATCGAAACACGAGTTGACCAGATCGAGACCCTCAGAAAATGATATACGAGGCAGTTTTTGTATGGAAGGCATAATCCGTTGCATTGTACGAGCATTTCACACTCCTGTTCGTTCATACCAACGGTTATTAGTTTTGAGTACTCCGAATTATGAATGTCGGCATCAACCACAACTTACCAGGAAAGTAGAACGACCAGGTGTGTCATTCATATATGAATTTTCTTTTCAGAACTTGATTGTTTTGTCTTCGACTGACGTTCGGAACTTGTGCTTTTCAAGTTATTCCTGATCTGACCAGAGAGCAGAAATCTTCTCTTTCAATGGAAAATGCTCAAGTAAAATATTTGAATCTGAGGGATTTGGTGATGACTGATTATCCAATATAGCTTTCCCGCGGTTGTGTGAATCCAAGAAGATCGAAGTGAGAATGGGTTCTGAAATAGGAAGTTACTTTTACTAGAAGCTCTTGTCAACATGTTACATATTAGGCGTACCTAGTAAAATGTCACCTTGCACTCCAGTTTCCCACACTCCTCATCCTACACACACGAAGTCTACTTAATTTCACTAGCTAGTAAATATGCTACAAACTTGTGTGCAGCAGTGAGCAATCTCAAATTCAATGCGTAATAGAGCTGTGCTTAGACCTCTAGGCGGTTTCCAAATGGATCTTGTACAATCATTTCACCGAAGTTCGGTATTACTACTGTGTTTAGAAGCAAATTTGTGCCACTACAGCACACCATGTTAACAACCAGTAGACGTGTTCCACGCAGAGGAAACACGTGAATACACATTGCTTATCTTTTGTGACTTGAACCAGGTTTACCATTGTGGTATGTTTGATGAAAACTAAAACCATAACTTTTACTAAACTCGGCATCCGGCAATTGAGCGCAGATTACCGTTCACAGTGGCTCGCGTAAATACTAACGGGTAGACAGTTTTCGGTTGTCAGATGTTTTAGGTAGATAGATTCTGATAAATAAAATAATTAAGCTTACGAACTTATTGAAATTCCACAGGGTAAAGAGTGTTACGCCGGTTGAGACCAGGTACTGAGTTTACGAGTATAAATACGGTAGATTTATGCATACTTTCAGTGAATCAAATGTTCTCTCAATAAATTAATTCTGAAAAGGTGTCTTGTTGGTCTTTAAGCACAATCAATGGGGGCAGAAGCAACTTGCAGCTCAAAGAACTTCAAAACACGTACAGGAGATAAGAAATGGCAACATTTGAGGTTACAGGAGTTATCTACGGTCCTCAAGAGGTGTCGTCTTAGGTGGAAAACAAATATGCATTTGTGATCAGACAACGCAACGTCCAAGCCCTCCTCTCTTGTAGTCTTGTGTGACAGGTTGCCACCAAAATTCTAGGGATATAAAATATTATGTCGGAGTATTGGAACTAATTTTTCAGCACTCCGTTGCGTCTGTTTCATGTGATACTGCAGCAGGGTAGGTTTGTGAAGTGCTCACTTTGGACACCATATCTTGTGGCTTCTGTGGACTGGCGACTGGATGGAGATGAATGAAAAAACCTAGATCATCGTGGTACATTGGATGACACCGCACTCGGTTTGGTGGGTATTCTACTTATCCATGCACGAACTGAACAGAGGAGTTATGTACGGTAATTTTCGTATCCTTTGAAGCAGTCAATTCATGATAATATGGGCCCTTGCTTCCGTAGGTGGATATCATGGTTAACTCTCAAACACTGGAGAAATCTATCTGTATGATATCCCCAACTTTCGCCATCGCGCTCTCTCGTGCGCTGGTCGAGTTTTATCCAAAGCCAGTAGTGTGTCAAGCAACGGGATTCTTAGCTCCATATAGGCGGCTAGGCCGTCCTCGCTTATGGATCCTATCAACTTACATCTGACCGGAAGCAGTGTTATGGGCCGATGGCTTGATGGGTCATACCGAACGATTCTCACTCTCTCCACACCGTTGCTACTGTTAAGTAACTGATAGGTAACTAAACAGATTCGCATAAGTAGATTAGGGTGAATATTATCGATGCCCGGCCCTCCGTCGGGTTTGGCTTTTGCTCACTGTTTTGAATGTGAAGCACAAAGTTGATAGGGAAAATACCCGACAGAGAACGTACGTTTGACCACAGTAGGTGAAGATGAATTTGTTTATCTGCCGGTTGATGAAAATCGTTCTGGGAACTACTCAACGCTCTGGAGCGAAAATTGTTGCACACTGCAACCCAAGGGCATTGGTAGTATCGCGTAAATTGTAATTAAACCCTTCAGCCGTTTGGAAGAAAGGACTACGTGATGAACTTCGTTCTGATCAATATCATAGTGGTTGATATTGACTATTTTTTTCGGTCACACGGGCTTAAACACCAGAATTATCGCCTTCAGATTTGTGGCCCATCATAATCTTTTCATCTGTTTACACATGTTAATCTATCAATAAAGGTCGTGAAATGTAGCCCTTAAAGTAGTCCTCAAATTACAATTGATCATGAGGTCATGTTTTCTTGATACCACAACTAGCACTATCTTCTGAGTCATGTATAAGCACTAGCTTTCTTGGTCGTTCAACTTTATGCCTGTGGGCATGATAAGGTAATCACCCAGACACAGTTTTAGTTCAGTATTCGTTTCCAGGCTTGATGCATTGAAACTTAAGACAGGATATTTTTCATAAAGGAAACTACTCACAAGGTTGCTGAAACTTCTTCGACAGCCCACGACCGGTTTCGCCCTTCTTGGGGCTCATCAGGTAAGCACAGTCCCCGAGTTTCCGTTGACCTTATGTTCTGCTTGAACCCAAATTGCATAAGTAGCATAAATTCAAATATCATAAACTAGAGATTCAGTTGAGCCTCTCGTGAAAACCAAATTGATTTGCAAATGAGTGTATTTCTCGAAAACATTGCAAACTGGGTTCAAGTAGATCATAAGGCCGACAGAAACTAGGGAACTGCGCCTACCTATTTAACCCCCAAGAAAGTCTTAACCGGTCATGGGATGTCGGAGAGTTTTCAGCAACCTTGTGAGAAGTTCTCTTTATGAAAATGTACTGCGATATCTCGAACATCGTGTCAACTGAATCATGAGGCGGCCTGTGTGAAGCACATTCAGTTGTAGAATATCATAGACAAGAGATTCATTTGAGTGTCTCGTGAAAACCAAATTTATTTGCAAGTCAAACTATTTTTCATTTTCTTTGCATGCCAACGTGTTGGTAAGCTTGGTAAGTTTCGTTGCCAAATAAATCCATTCAATATTTGGAGAAGATTTTTAGGTTGTTTATAACTCTACGTCAGAAAGCCAAGAGCAGTGTGTGGAACCGACAGATCTGAATGAAAGAAATGCGTGATTTATCTTTCCAAGGGGTCTCATTCATAATTTTCTGGGCGGTAAAAATTATATCCATGAGGGATGAAGTGTCGTTTGAGCGAAATCTTGTACTATCTTTGGTGAATGTGAGTTCGTTAGCGAGAATAAATCAAATCAGATTTGGTTGTTAAGCTATGAAATATATGGAATTTTAGAGACCCCAGTCAACAAATTTTGTGGTAAAAATA